CACACACACACACACACACACACACACACACACACACACACACACACACACACACACACAATGCCTTAAGGAGTACATAATAAGTCATTAATATATGTGTACAGAAAACAGATTGAACTGAGATTATAAAAATATGATTGAGTCTTTGTTGATAGTTTGATTATTTAACACTAATCAAAAGCTTTCATATAACACTGAGTTCTCTGATGGCACCTACTGTAAATGTTGTTTCTACCTTCTTTTTCATATCTCACCAGGAAATCCTGCACGGATGAAGGTTCTTACAGAGTTTGACCTGAAGCTCTGAACTCATCACTTGTTCTGGAGTTGGCTTTGAGTTTAGCATGTTACCACACAGTGAACCAACAGAGCTCAAATAGAGCCTCTTTTCTAATACCCAAAACTCAACCGGCTCAGCAAGGCCATTAATCCTGTTTTGTAGAACGACCCTCAGATTAAGTCAATCGATGCTCACTCACCTTTGCACTGATTGGTGTTTTTGTCCAAAATGGCCTTCGTTGACACAATCTTTCCATATCTGTAAGTAGAAAAACAGTAAAACATTCTGATTAACCATTCAAACCTGTAGTCTTGATGTTTGTGAACTTAAATGGGAAACCTTTTACTATGAGCAACAACAATTTCAGTGTGGGTTATTGAATTTACAGGTTGCATTTGAATGTACCATGAAGCCTTCGCATGTTGCCAAAAAAGCTGTTTAGAAGTGCCAAATTTGTAACGCAGATGGCATGATTGCGAAGATAAAAATGAAGACAGCTTTTAAAATAAGCGAACACATTTATGTCTTCTTTTTACTTACAGGTTCACATTGTAAAGAAGCCAATTTTTTTCTCCAGCAGCAGGTACAAAAACAAAGTGCAGCTGCAGCTTTGTAGAGTCTTCACCTGCAGTATAGTCTGACTTTATGCACGGTGTCCGAGTCAAACTGACCATTTTCTCTCCCTGTGTGGGTAAAAAGGTTTTAGTTGCTGGAATAACTAAACTGCAGAACTCAATGCTTGTCAGAAGCTTTATGTTGACTCAAATTTTCTCCAAAGTAATTGTAATGGTCCACAACAAGATGGACCCCAGGAGTCCTCTTTTCCATCATATTGTGCTGCTTCCCCAGAAACACAACAAGACTAATATCGGTTTCTGTCCTCTTGACCTTGCTATGAGAATCTGGTTGTGGTGCAGCTCATCCAGCTGAAGGTCCGCTTCTCTGTCGTGAAATTAAAAATGTTACTGAAGCTTGCAAAAATAATCTGCTGAGCTGACTCCATCAGATTAACAAGTCCAGCATGGTAAAAGATGTTTCCAAGGTAAAATAAAGCAGGCAGCTCCAACAAGATAATTTATTTGTTTTCAGACATCCGACTGAAAATGAATAATAAAAAAAACTGCAGGGAAAAAAATCTAATTCATGGGTAGCGTTGATAAAGGTTCATCTAAAAAAACATTTCACCATCTTTTATTTTCTGTCAGTTCCACAGCTGGAGTTGGGTCTTCCTTTTTTAGATTATTATCTGGTTCTCCATAAACCAAACAAATAAAAGATTGCCTTGAAGAAAATGTGATGCCAACAAGCTAACCACACTGTTCATGTCCTTTATAACTGCTTTGGACACAAACAACTAACATTGTCATGAAAACCGTCAGCAGGAATTAAAAGTATTGGCCCCACCCGCTCCACATCAAAACTTTATTATTATTAATTTTCCTGTCGGCTGCTAAACAAACTAATTCTGTAGAGCCTTTGACTCAGCTATGTTTTTTTGTCCAGGCAGTAAAGTCTGAATCAGTGAGAAAGCTCTTTTAAACATATTTTCTGCCTGGATATGCAAACAAAAAATGACTGAATAACTACACTTTCTTGTATTAAAAAGAAGTTTCCTAATCTATGTCATGGTAATGGAATTGAGAGTGTGCAGCTGCTGTGCTGTGATTGGTGGAACAAAGTTCTGCTGGATGCTGACTGGCTGTCACAGATGACCTCATCACTAAAAAGCAGCCCCAACAATGAGCTGTTGTTCAGGCGAATGTTGTCAGATCACCACTGACTTTTTTTTTCAGCTGATCTTTGTGACAAACCCCAACATGCCCTAAAAAATCTTGAAAATCTGTTCATAACCCTTTGAGTTAGGGCTGTGTATTAGCAAGAATTTGGCGAAACGATACATATCATGACAGAGGGGTCATGATACGATATATCCCGATATATTGCGATACTATAAGCAAGGTGATATATTGCGATATATTGTGATTTTTTGTCCAAAAATTCTATTAAATAAAAACCTCAGACAGGGGAAAAAAATGAAAAACCAAAATTCATTGTCTCAGAAAATTCTAATATTACATAGACATGCTTTTGATACATTTAGCTGTGTTCTGCTTTGTATGTATTTTATTTTCTTTGTTTTATATTTCTTATTTCATCCATGTTTTCAATTATTAGACTAAATTTGACAATAAATAGTTTGAAAATATATTTTTTGCAGCTTTTAGTTTTTAATATTAATTTACAATATGGTCACCCAACACTTAACAATAGCCTCTACCTCAAGAGGTAGAGTAGCCAAATGGCTGGCTCACTGCTGCCAACTAGTGGTCAGAGGCTGAACTACAGCATAAAAATGAACGGCTGGCAGGACTTGACATTGACATTGACATTTTAAACCTTATTAAAAAATCAATACAGGGCTTTAGAATATCGATACAGTATTGGGAAATGAAATATTGCGATATTTCAGTGTATCAATATTTTCTTACACCCCTACTTTGAGTACAGAAAAAAATACTCTCTGAGAGTTTCCTCAAAATGCATCCACTTGTTCTTGAAATATTTGGCAAACACACAAACGCATAGGCAACTACATGATCACCCACCATTTTTTTTTGACAGGTGACATTCGTATGTTAGCCAGCCTTACTAGAAGGCCTACAAGAGACACGCAACCTCTTTACTTCTTTCTGTCTCTTCTCTCTGTCAACTTTTGTCTCCCGTCTGTTCCACTGCCATTCTCTCTCTTTGTGTGACACCGTCAGCTCTCTCACTGTGCCTCATTCCCTTATTTCCCTCCTTCATTCCTCTTTTGTTCTCCGGCTCACTGTTATCAGGCTTTCAGAAAAGACTTAATAATGTTTCTCATTGAACCAGACGTTCAGTGGCTCTGGAAAGGGGAGGATGAAAAATAATAATAAAAAAATAACAGACTAAAACTGGGCAGTAGTTGGAGAAGGGTACGAGGAGAGAGGATACCAAAAAATAAAATAAGAAACTAGAAGATTACCAGGAAAATACTGAGACAGGATCCTGAGATTGCTGGGATCAGCTGAGATCACAGTCGGGCTTTGAGCGGATGAGACATTTTTCTAATTAATGTGTTCACCCAGCAGCAGAGTGACTGACTAGCAGGCTGTGTGACTGTCAGACAGATTGACAGACTGACAAGCTGCTGACTGGCTGATGGCTCCAGGTGAGGGATTGAGGTGTATTCCCTCCTCTCTATTAGACGGGGGGAGAAAAAAAACAACAACGGCGGAGACAGAAACGATTCAATAAAGATACAACCCAGGAGACTCCAAGGAGAGAGAACGGGTTGGGGGTGGTGGTGGTGG